ACCACTGGCTTTAGAGCACTGTACCCACAGTTGTTTTGGGGTTTTCCACGTCCTCCCATATCCTGATGAATACTCGATAAGAGAGAGCCTTGGGTTAGCCCTTATCTTCTCAGCTGCCAGGACCAGTGCTCGGGGAACACCACACAAAAACACACAAATTAAGGCAGCCACAACACCGAGAAGACAATGGCTGCTGCTTGCAGATACTGCCGTGAAATCCAGCACAGCCAGCCGGACATGGGGAGTCCACTTAGTTTGCCAAGTATTGTCAAGTTATCCTACAGCCTCAGTAACCAGATCACCATTTTCCAATCACCTAATAATCTTCAAAGAAATCACAAGCGTAATCTTTCCTATTGTGTCAAAGAACTAATTCTGACCTTCCATGTTTTACACCACTAACTCAAATGAATTCAGCAAGCTATTCCCAAGATAAGAACGTGCTTGGTGTTTAAAGATAATTGCCCCTTACTTTGACGGACATAATTTTTACAAGCTAAGTGAAAGCATTTACGCACCATCACATAAGAACCGATCCTTTAGGTAGAATTCTAGTTAAATACAGTACTATGAGAAAAATCTTTTGAGACTTTTTTTTCCCTCTAGACAAGTCTTAGTCACTTATTTGTTAGCCATTTTAAACTACTGTACTGGTAGTTACTATTTAGTAAAGATACATCTATACATAAGAATTTTAGTATTTAGCCTTCCAAATAGGATGCTGAATAGACCATACCATAAGAACACAGTAGTGAAGTCACCAATAAGGCCTGAAATATCAGGATTTGCACAAAATCTGACAGCTGGACTCTATAATGGCCAAGAATTCACAAGAAAGAAATGCCAGCATGAAAGCTTTTTTTCTGAGTTTACAAACTGATAAACATCCATTAGAAAGAATACTGAAGATACACTGCACAAAGGGCAATGTGGAACATGTGCCTTAAGCACAATGCATATACCAACGTACACCTGATTGTCCTCAAAGTGGAGACAGCGTGCACGTGCATGTGCAAGAGTGAGCACTTTGATACAGTGCATGCATAAGTGCCTTCACTCAAAAAAAAATTATAATTAAAATAGTTTTTGGACACGGTGGATATTTATAGTAAACATACACAAAATAATTCTTTAAGCACATATGAAGGTCCACACCATCCACTCTTTGTTATAGGGATCACATCTGGGAGTTCAATGTGTTAGAAATAGAGAATGTTATAGAAAAAAAAATTAATTCTCCAAAGTAAACACCTTGTTATTGAGACTACATAATGAACAATTACTAGATTTTCTTAGCAGAAAGAGGCACGTTTTGGTTGTTGAAACTACTTCTAAAATCAATCAAAAAATCTAAATTGTTTGCTGTTATTCCACACCAAAAAGCAACCTCTGGGATGGTGAAGAGGATTATACTTGTTTTTTTTATCTTTAAGAAACGGATTTCACTCAATAAACTGCTTAAATGTTTTCATGATCACATCACACTGGAGGCTGTTGTTCACTGCCAGGAAAATTTCTTTGCTTGAGAAGAATGAAGAGTAACTGAAAACAGGTCCACTGGGATTTCTTGAAGAAAAAAACCCATCATCACAATGGATTCTGAACTCCAAGGTGGGTGAACAAAAATTTGTCTACCATTGTAGACTAAAAGGAAAATGTCTCTAAAAGCATCAACAAAGGTCTTCCTAAGCAAACTATACTCAGACAAAACCACAACGTACAGCCCTGCTATTAACTTTTGATGCAACAGCCACTTTCTACCAAATCTGAATGGGGCAGCCTCAGATCACAGTGACAACCGCGGTCTGGCTAGCCCGTATTGGTTCTGTCACTTCCTCCTCACTCAAACATACACTGAACTTGGAAGGAAGGGTGTGATAAACAAGGAGGCTGAGGATACTGCGCGAGAAGGAATTCCCTGTTACGTGGGAGAACTGCAGCGACGCGGGACTGTTAAGGACAAACGGCAACAGGACTGTGGATAATACCTGCTAATGCAAGATGGTAGACGCAGTGTAGGAAGGCGAGGAGCAGGGTGAATCCTGGGTGAGAAAGATTGTTTGTGAATATATTTGTAAATTTGAAGCCATGTCTAGCTTTGAAACCCATTTAAGGAACATATTAGTATCATGCATTCACCACAACATGTACTTATCCATACTTCAGGGATAACCAGAATCGCAGGCCTGCTCACGTGAGCATGCCACTGTGTTTCAAAGACACTGAACTTGCTGGTCTACCTTTAACCAGATTCCCTTGCGAATAGCTTTAAGGTATGCCTGAAAAAACACTAAACTTCACAGGATATGAACAGTTCTTATACAATCAGAAGCCAGATGATTAGCTAATAAAATACATAAATATAGTATCAGGCACAGACAGAAGCAAGTAAAATACATTTCTGCAGAAGAGTTTAGCATAGATGTTTCAATGGATTAGGAAGCTTCAGTGACAGAAGGCATATTTAATATATAAAATCCATATGAGAAGCAGTGGAAAAAAATAGGGCAACTGTCATGTGTCCAAGAAATATCTCCGGAAAAAAGCTGTCAAATATAAACACTTCACAGCAACAAAATGTTCTGCAACTGCACAAGGCAATTTAATTCAGAATATACAATGTACCTCATCATGGATTTTATAATTACAAATATCCCTGAACAGCTGGATCTCTCCAAATTGAAATAACATTTACTTTTGCTGTTAAATAACTCCTCTCTGGAATTTATGATTATTTGGACATAAAGATTGCTGTTGGTTTATTCTAGGAAAGGGACAGTTGAGAAGGAGTACAACCGATGCGTATAAATAGACCTAGAGGCAAACACCTAAGAAGTGTTAAGAACTAATTAAGCTCAAGGACCATGCAACCATACTCATATAAGAACAAATGGTTATAAATTGGCCATGAAGAAATGTAGGTTAGAAATGAAACAAACTGATTTTGTCAGACAAAAATTCACAAATCTGTGATCAGTATGACCTGTTTGCAATAACAAGGGCTTGAACTCAAGTGACTCCACTTCCAGTCACACATCCTAAAAACAAAATAAATTTTTAACACTCTTGCAAAATAACTGTATGATTAATCCTGTAATAGATGTACTCGCTGAAAAAATACGGTATGTGCTATAAATAATAATAGAAAAATACCTATAAACTCTGTTGTGAATGAATTTCCAAAGGCCTAAAAACTGATTTGCATAGCTCCAAAAAACCTCATTCAAGCTATAAAGACTATGAAGGTTCCTGTCCAGCAACAGGTATGGCTAAGATAAATCTGCCTAAACCGTGTTTCAGCAACAAACTTTGGAAGGTACTTCCACTTCCTACCAATATTCCTTATTCTTGTTCCTTCCTTCAAAAAATAAGGAGGAAATAAAAATGCAGATATAGTATCCCTTACCATCACAGAAAATAAATAACAATCTTCCTATCTTTGATGCCTTCTAGAATTTGTTCTTACTTTCCTTGCCACAGAAGCTCAAGAAAATAATACAGAAGAATAACCAATGCACATATGGGACACACCAATCAAAAGCCTGGCCCATTCATTAACCTCTTTCACTGACTTTAGTAAATTTTATACCAGAACCTACTGAGAACACACACAAATTTAGCAAGAACATTTAGAATATTCAATGTTTTGTTTCACAGGGTGCTTTTTTACTAGCTGTGAAACTATCGAACTCTGTATTAAGAAAGGTCACACTAGGTAAGTGAACCATTTCATCCTTGGAATAGACTGATTTGTACTACTTAAGGAATCCTAAAAAAATATGCTCTATTACCACTCTTCAATGAGACCCAAGTTGTAGTCTCAGCTTTTACTAATTCTAATTAATATATTTTTAGTCATTAAATACAACAGCATTTTGAGTGTCCTTTGTAATACTCATGTTCAACAGAAATGCTATTTCTGTCAACCTAAACTTTTTTGAAAATGCAGAACAAATTAAATGCATTGTTTCACCAGAAAAAAAATATTTTTCTTTCTTGCCTTTACCCTGTTTTTCTTATATTGATAGTTTCAAAAAATGCACAAAACATATCACAGAATCACAGAATGTTAGAGATTGGAAGGGACCTCGAAAGACCATCTAGTCCAATCCCCCTGCCGGAGCAATACAATATCCAAACAAGGATGTCCTTGCTAAAAAATTCCCTAAAAGTCCATTATTTAGCACATGCGCAGCTCTTGAGCGACAAACATTCAAGCATTCCTATCTAGGAAGCCCTGACCACAACGTCACAAACATTCTCTTTCTGGACAAAAGCATACTTAAATAAAAAGGAGAAGCTCATTACTGCTCATTCAGTGACCTTCCATGGGTTTTAATAGCGATATCTAAGTTTGCCCTTAATTACTGTTGCTTTGCTTTGTTAAAAACATAAAATTATTTTTGGGGACAAAAATTTTTGTTCGGCAGATAGGTACAGGTTTTTCACAGCAAACAAAAATCCTTTTCAATTTGAACTACTTTTCACACTATTTTTCACTTCAGACTGAACCAGAAATCATTTATTTAGAAGGTCCTAATCCAAAGTCATTGACAATGGCTTTGTGCTCTCAGAATTCCTCTTTCCTATCTTTCTTGAAAGGAAAATACATATTGCAACCAAGATGTAATTGCAACAGATGAAGGACTCTTACTTGTGCATCTTTTTTTTTTTAATTGAAATGCTGTGGAAAGCAGAGTAAAGATTAATAAATACATGTATATGTACTTGCATGTATGCATGTATACATACATCCACCTCTATATCCCTATTATAGACTGAAAATTTCTAAGTAAGGAAAAATCTGGACAGCTTTTGCAGGTGGAAAGTGAACGTACTTAGAGAAGCTACAAGCAAATTATCGTTGTGCTATTATGGTGCTATGACTGTTGAAAAAAATTGAGTAGATGTGATGACTCTATAAATATACACACTATTCTTACAAAATTCAGGACACTGTATTTTCACTGTATGCTTATTCTGCCTCATTTAATACTCACAGACAGACTGTAAGAAGGTTCCAGTATCACTGGCACTGACATCTTCCCTTGAAGATTCAATTTTGTTAGGTTAAAAATCTTTTCTCCCACAATCCTCTCTTTTTTCATGCGACGTACGCTGTACAGTCTAAAGCGAACTGCATAATTCCCAATCATCTCAGACTCAATGTGATTAAATTTGAATGTCTCTGTGAAGACAGGGCATGGTCCCCGCTGGATGCTGGTTTTTGCTCTCTGCTTCTTTATAGGGAGAAGAACTAGGTGTACTTGCCATGAGCTTCCACCTGTCCTGTTGTATGTGGGAATGTCTGTGACAGCTGTCACTGTCACCAAAAGCTTCTGTTCCTGTGAGTCATAGTCAAAAGTCACATCCAGTGTGCCATATTTAGCTACTGGCTCAGGATCAAAAGGTTTAGGAAGCTGTGAAGATGATCCTCGAGCTGACATATCCTGAAGAAGAAGAAGAAAAAGCAGCTTTTTATTTATTTATTTATTGTATTCTATTATTAAATCTAGCATTGAAATACATGGCTTTCTGTAAGAAATATGAAGCAACTATGATCTTTTTGTTCTTTTCATAAACAAGGTAATTAAACACTGAAAGCCTGAGGAGCAGCCAACTAGCAGCCAAGACAAAATCAAAAGACTTTACCTGACCAATACTGCTAAAAGCCAGGAGACAATCAGACAGAGCTCAGACTAAATTAGGCTGTATTTATGATCTCTTCTTCTGTGCCCCACATGTTAAAATACATATACATTTGTTGTTATTTCAGTGTGAGCATACACACATTTTTAAGTTAACATATTATAGTGCCTTAAGAGTTGGCTAGTGATTGAGATGCCAGCAAAGAATACAGGAATTACAACAGCTACTTGCACACACAGCTGTTGTTGCAGTCCACAAGGGTTCTATCAATGTGCCAAAAATTATCATAGCTTTATTAATGTAATTTTACTAGAACTGTGTAAGACGTGTCTGTTTCAAACACACTTTCTGAACTTTCTGTAAATGGTATCAGTTCTAAAACTGTTTTAAACCTAAAACAAATTTATGTCCTGTGTCTTTTCACATTATCAAAGACATGCTTGTTCATGGAAATGAATAGATGCCACAATAAAGCCTTTTGGATTAAAAAAAAAAAATGGTACGTTCTTATTTTAAACTGGTTGCTACACAGCTATGGGAATTCATTCCTCTGAAAGCTTCATTTTTCGAGTCGCTGAGTGGCTGCAAAAAAGGCTGGCAGTATTCTCAGTTGTTACTGGGTACACTTACATTAACGACTGGCATGACACAAAGAGGGAAGAACTAGAATTTGATTTGCTGCCCATGTGTTAGGGCACCATATGTACGCACTATGTCTTTACCAGCAGTGAAGTTCATACAGGCTGTGGTTCTAGCTGATCATCAGGTACATGCAGACAGCTACTGGAGGACCTTGCAGTTGCATAGCAGGTGGGGCTTCTAGATGTTGCACCAATACCCCACATATGCAACATCAATTTACCAAGAGGTCTATTAAGACAGAAACAGCTGTTGGCACATCAGGACTGAGCCCTAATACACACTTCAAAACTTGAGGTAGAGAAAAAAAAAAAAAGACAAACTTGTACCAAAAAGAGACTCTTCTGCACATGACATCACTAATTCAGATTTACCCATAGATGTCAGTGAAGTAATTGTTAAATACTTCCCAAGGAAATACACATCAGAGAAGATTACCTCTCCATAGTAAAAATAAACAGGTATCAGAACAGTTTATAGCAAAAAAAAAAAAAAACAAAAAAAAACAAAAAACCAACTAAATGATACAAATCTCTAGACTACTACCAACAATTTAAATAAATTCTTTGTAATAATTTTTTTTCATAAAAGGCATTTTACATTATGGGTGTCTGTTTTGAAAAGTGTTAACAGACTTTTTTTTGAGTCATTTGAAAAATTATGTGGAAGAAAAAGAATTTTGGCTACAGTCTTTATAGTGTGATGAAGCTTTCTGACTTGTAAAAAAAAAACCACACTCTTACTGCAAGCTGATTTGAAAGTTAAGATGCCATAAAGTTAAATATAGATAACAATCTGAAATCCTATTGCAATATTTTCTGACAAACTAACTTTTTTTAAAATGAATGAGCTGCAACATTACTGTTCATATATCTGTACATTTATCTTCAGGAAAAAAAAAAAATCTCACAAGGTTGCACTGCATGACATTTCCGAACACTCAACTGTTTTCATTTACCTCTGGACTAAGGACAGCTGTGCTATCACTTGGTACATCCTCTTCATATCCTTTGTTATGAAAGCTTTCTATTTCGTGTCCCGTGCTTCCCTCACTTGGGCACTTATATGAACATCTTGGACTGTTGCTACACTGGGAAAATTCACATTTACTGTCTCCGACTTCAGAAGGCGTACATGAAAGATGAGGAGAACCACTATCATCCTGGTATGGAGGCGGCTGCAGTTCATCTAGCGGAGGTGTTCTTCTCATCCTCTGAATGCAGTTTGCTGAGAATAAGTGAAAATTCTTTACTTACTTTCTAATTATTTACTGTTGAACAGTTCTGTGGAAAATGGTAAGTCCAAATATCTGGACACAGTATTTAAAATCTATAAATGTCTCTTTTTTCCTTTACATTTTAAATTAGGTAACAAATATTACTGAAATATATGTTTAAAAATGGAAAAAAATATCTATCAGATTAAACAGAAGTGGGGAAAAGCAAAGTAAACAAGCAAAGAAAAAGCAAGTGTAAACAAGATTTGAATAAATATAGTACAAATATGACACGAGAAAAATTCTAGGCTTGAATTTCAGGGATGCTTACCTCGCAAAAACCTTTAGATATCTTAAGACTGATTCTGTGCAGGTGCAATTTAGACCAATTAAGGAAACAAAATGCACTCCCTAAAGCCATGGTATCAAACTTCTGATTACTTACCTCCCATGCTGTTGTTCACCCAGGGAGATATTAAATTAAACTCTGAAGACAAATAAGGCACTAATAAAGGCAGACACAAGCCTTTTCACAAAAGTGAACTCTGATCACTGGTGAATTTAACAAGGGAAGCAGTGTCTACAATTCCTTATTACTTGTTAAGGACAGATAAAGGGTATGCACCCAGTGTCTAGAAGTCAGACACTAGGTTCAGTCACTAAAGACAGTAGAAAAAGGACCATGAGCAATCTTGCGCTTGAGATTACTACTTGATGCTGACCATCTTTGCTTCTCACTTACACTAGCTAGCTAGATAGAAATGGAGTTTCACATCTCCTCAGAAAATAAACCCAGGGTGCGTGGCTACGGATAGTGACAACTAATTACAAATAATTACATTTCAATTTTTGATGCTGTGTTTTACTGCACAGCATTACACAGATGACTGGAGTTGGGAAAAGACAGCAAGGTATGCAGTAGCTGAAATGAAAGGAATAACAAAGATCGATAAAACCTCTATCATGTTTTGTTTACATCTTCTGTAGAGGTTTCAATGAAGATTTCCATGCCACTCACACATAGAATTAATTTATACACAAAAATTTCAAGGCAGCAATCTTTCCTGGTCTCAGACATGCCACTTTCACTCACAGAAAAAAATCAACGAAGCAATGAAGTTAACAGAAGTATTAGCATTAGCACAACATAAGCTTTGATTTCAGATTCATCTAAGAAAGGAACTGATCTTTCCCACGACAAAGGTGGTACATTTTAGTTTCATCATCAAATTTTTGTATACAGGACAGCCCTGCCTATGTCCTAAATTCACACCAAGTACATCAACCTTTTAACTGCTTCAGAGGTAATTACCAGTTGTTCCACTTATCACATAAACAGAGTATGCCTAAGAGTTACCCTTTACGGAACAAGGCTGCAAACACAGTAACATGGCTCTCTTGGGAAACAGTCTTTGCAACAAGCTCCCTTTTGTTCTCTTCTTTGCCCCTTTTGGGAGTCTGGGCTGTACCTGACTGTGGCATGCAGGAACATTTCACGGCTTCTGGGACTTGATGCAAGCCCAAACCACCATGGGCTTGGTGCACACCATTCACAGGAATCAAATGCAGACATGCTGGCTAGAAGGGAGCCAGTGTGTACTGCAGGTCCCCAAAGCTGGGTGACTGAAGGACAGGGACAGGACAACTCATTATGGAGGACTTCTACTGAACAGATGAATACAGGTGTCAAAGATAATTGGGGAATGCAGGGCTCTTCTCTTCACTGGGCTCCTAATGGAATTCCTCAGAGCTTTAGCTAAGGCAAATCAGTAATTAAAACAACGCAAAGCACTCCTACCAGATGATACCACTGTTAAGAATCCTCTAGCAGATACCCATAAAACCTTACATACAAAACAAAGTTAAGTGGGACAGTCAAAATCTTGAAATCATCATGCAGAAATAGTGAGCAAGCGTTATTTGCAAAACATGGAGAGATCTGGCAAAGCACTTTATTTTTTTTTATATTAGATAACTTGTGGCCATGAAACTAGATAGACATAATTTTAGAGTCTAAATTGATATTTTAATCATGATAAAATAATAATAAATATCTTTGACTCTCTATACCATAAAAACAGGACTTCCTTTACATAATTTGTATAATTAAATATTCCAGCAAATTTAGAGCAACAACATTTCTGCTCATTGTTGCTAAAAGGCAACAAACAGCCTTAAATGAGACAGTAACCACCATGTAGCTATGACTTAATTTCTTTCTTTTCACTTGTTGTCTAGTCTGCAAGGACGTTTTAACTCCCAGCTTTTCCACAGTCTGAAGAAATGAGAGCGTGTCTGGGTAACTATCAACACCATTATTGTCTTACATGAGTAAATAAATGACTGTGTGACTCACTTTTTTCACTTAGATGAATGCCATTATATGTCCCTATGGGAAAACCGCACAGGCTGTGTGACAGAAAAGGTACTTTTAATGTAGGCGGGGAAGAAGTGAAGAAAATAAAATTCTTATTAACCATCTGTGATTCAAAAAATCTCAGGAAAGGCTGAAACACTGGGCTGGTTTTATCTATTTATTTCTGAAAGTTTACTTTACCAAAGAGAAATAGCATGCAAATTCTTAAAACAAACATCCAGGTTTAAAAATCTAAGGATACCTCAGTCTAAACAGGCATAAACTGTTTTTGAATGAAAGGTTTCTCTACATAAAAAGATATCAAAGTTCTCAAATGAATTTTTCATGTGAAAATGTCTCATTTTAAATTAATTTCCCCCTTCCCACAGTAAATTATGCAATAAAATGATAATTTCATGTTATGGTTCTCTGAAAATACTTCAAATATTAATTACATGAAGACATTCTAATGACTGACGATATCAAGGACAAACAACATCGACAGAAGTGAATACAGCAACACCCAAAATCTGATCCTGGGTATTTTCCTTTAAAAATTATATAGACGTAACAACTAACTCCAACAATCAATCCATCAACAACATTTTGCATATGTATTTAAATTTAAAACAAAAAGCCACTGCTCATGCATGCTGGTCTATCACTGATTGTATTGGAGAAAGCCATTTGGAGATGAAAGGAAAGCATGTTCTGCAGTGTTACGTATTTATATATAGAACCCCTGTCTACACCATACCTTGTACCTTTCATTTAATCTGTAAACTTCCACACAGTTACATTTGCACATACTGGTATAGGGTGGCAAAGCCAAAGAATACCCTCCAAAGACCACGGAACGTGGCTAATAGCATCTGCTAAAGAGTTACTCCTAACAAGTAAATGGTTACAGTGAAAATCTAAACTTAATTGTTGCACGGTTTCTACGCAAGCTTCCCAAGAAACGTTCTGCTCTCAAACCAAAGAGAGAGTAGATTTTGCCAATTTATTTAGTGAGCTGGGAAAACACTCGTACAGTGGTAATAGTAAAGTCCTTGCTCAACAGCTGAAGAAACCACAATTATAAGCAAAATACCTGACAAACACAAGCAGATTAGCATTCTGCTGATACACTCAGAAATTACAACATGTAAACTGTCATTAGCACATTTAAGTCAGAAGTAAATAAATAGCTTCTTTTTAGCACTGTTTGTTAAACAATGAAAAAGTTAATGTGTTTTCCTAAGTCCCTGTACAGGGGACTGATGGAAAGCCAAGGGGCAATGATACATACTCTTGCCACCAACTTCAAAGGACTGTCAGTAAAACCTGACCCAGCAACCATGGCCAAAATGAGCACTCCTGGAACATACAATGGGTAACTACGAGGAAACACACAAACTTTTCCAGTCATTTTTCTGAGTGGAATCACAGTTTAAAGATACACAAACTTACTCTAAGAAATGCTTTTTCTTTAGGTTTTCAGTTACTATTGAACTTTCTACTCCCAACGCTCCCTGTTTCTCCTCTCTCTCCTGGTCCCTAGTGGGCATGCCAGGCTGGACAACATTTCATCATGAAGCTGGTGATGTTCTTTTCCATGTTTACAATGTTTAGACTTTGCTATCTTAATTAATTTTCCCAAAGGTTTCCAGCAGCGGCACAAACCTAGCTTTCTTAGGCCCTATTTCCTAAGTAATTCCAAGAACATCCATCTCTAACATATGGGAAAAGAAACTATCATTGTGGTTTTAATTCCCCTGTCTCATAAGGAGTAATTAACTACACTTTTGCAACTTGGAGTTTCTCATATACATGACTTCTTTAAATATTCATACTATTGTGGGAGGCAGCATTACTGCAAAACTTCTCTGGGAATCTCGTTTCCAGTTCCTTTAAAACACATAATCACTATATAAATTAATAATTGTTGCAATTCATATTTTGTAATTATCAGAATATCTTCATACTCCAATAGTACCTTTTCTTCCTCTAATATATCTCCACATACATTATGCTTCATAATTATTTATTTTTTTAATCCAACGTAAATTCCAAGTTTTCAAGCCTTTAAGGGGTTCTATGTAAATGTTAAGACAATTTAAATAAAACATAAAATGAAATATATGTTTAAAAATTAAAGAAACCTTTCTTATTCTGAATGATTAAATACCCTTAGAGATTTCTGATATGCAGCACAGACAGTCCAAATGGAATTATCATGTTTGAACTTTTCTACCATCCAAAAATATTATGTTGACTGAATTACCCCCCATTACAAGGAGTATAAAATATAAACATTAAATATTGAATGAAACCTCAGGGCTCTCCTTCCTTTACAATGAAAAGCTTACATGCATTTTTGTAAGGAAAAAAATACATTATTTCACAATAAAAGAAATTATCTTGGCATTATTCTATTTCTTCTCCAAAAGACTTATGGAACGACTCTTGCTTAATGAAAAAAAGGGGCATATAGGAAAGGTACGGGGTCATTATCGACAACAGGAAAAAAAAAAATCTTATCAGGTTTCTTTCTGTATTTGCCACATTTTAGACTTTTATTCATAGTTGAACTATCTTTTACATTAAGCAATTCACCAATAAATAAGAAAGGTCATCACATCTGTTTGGGTTGTTTTTTCAGTAAAAAATATT